AAGCACTTTATTGACTATCTTACCTTCTCAATATCTTAATTAAAAAATATTCTGCAGTTGGAGCTCCCAACAGTAATCTGGAAAGATCAAAAAAAAAAAAAAAAAAAAAATCAACAAAAAGAGAATTAATAGCATGAAGAAATTCGCCTAGTATAATATAGGCTATGAATATATTATGTAAAGATGGCGCTCAAACGAAGTTTTTTGCGATATTAATGTAACATATGACGGTAAATAGAAAAAAAACAACTCTAGTCTTGGCCTTTATGCATAGACAATATGGAAATTCATGACAATCTCATGAATTTCCAAAATGTCTTTTAATTGTGCAAATGCAAAATGTTTTATGTTATAGTATTTTTTATGTTATCTCGTTTGAATTTGTTTATTTCTATACTTTGTGTTCCTCATTTAACTGATATTTCAACTTTTTTTAATTGATATTAAATAAATTTAAACATAAAGATAGTATGTTTTTTTTTTATTTGCTGCTTTTCAAAATCAATAATAACTCAAAAACTATTAGAAAAAAGTTTTATTTTCTTGCAAAAATCCGTTAAGTGCAAGACTTAAAAATGTTTCGCCTAAAAAATAAAAGTTTTAAAAGTAAACCCAATCATTTTTTCTTTTTGTCATACAATAAAAAACATTAAATTTTTTTCCAAGCAAAAGATTTCACTAATTTTCAAATTTAGAAGATTTTTTAGTTTTGCGAAAATTGAAAAAATTTGAAGGGTTTCTGAAATAAACGCTTCAGTTACTATTTAATTTGTTTTCTAGTTTTTCATTTCTATCATTAACAAACTTCATTTTATAACTCTCATGAATTTCCAAAATGTCTTTTAATTGTGCAAATGCAAAATTTTTGGCCATTTTGAAAAGTTTTTGTGAAGCAGCTAAAAAAAAGATATCAGTTCGCGGTATTTCTCGATTTCTTGAGTGTTCTCGAGAAATCGAGAACACTCAAGAGTTCTCGAGTGTTCTCGAGAACTCTCTTTAATACTCTCCTAGCTATTTAATAAGGGCCTAACTGAATCTTGTTTCCTATCTGTTGGAGCATGGCATTTGTGGTTTCAGTTTTTAAAAACTCTGGAGAACTCTCTGGCTCCTCTCACTATCGTCCAACCAACCTTCTTTCTATCATCAGCATGATCAAACAAATTTCTTTTGTATCTCTTTTTGTATCCTCCTTTTAAATCTAATAACTTACACTCTGATAACTAATACAAATTTCAATCTTTTTGTTCTTCAGATGACTTGTTAACTGTTAAACAGAAGTATTCTATAGTGCATTATATGGTAGCAGCAAGGCAAGGACTGTTTGTCTTGACGTATCAAAGGTTTTCAATAAAGTCTGGCATGCTTACCTATTCCAAAAGGTTGTTCTTATGGTGAATGTAGAAAAGTTTTTACGGTTTACCATTATTTTCTAACTGCAGTACCAAAGTTGTCCTCAAAAACCGAAACTGTTCTTCTATTCCATTAATTTTTGGGGTTAATTAAGGTAGTATCCTTGGTTTTGTATTGTTTCTCATTTATATTATTATTCTTGCTGACATTTAGAGCGGCTCTTTTTGCTGACGACACAACTATAAACACCTACCAACATAAATCCATCACTTTTTGATTGCTTAAAACAGGTCAGAAGTCAAGTCAAGCAGATCTTGAATCTGATCTCACTTCTGTAACAATCTAGGGTTTGCAGTGGCTTATGAATTTTAACTCTAGCAAATTTCAGTTATTTATTTCAAAAATTATTAACATGTTGTTGATATTCTTTAATAGATTAATGACAACATTCTAACCGAGCCATTTTTCTTTGATACCCTTTATAAGATTTTTTTGGTATTTTCTTTATCAAACAGGCCATACAATGTTATCTGTTATCTTATACAACGATTTTTTCCAACTTATACATAACTTAAATACGGACAACTTGCTGCCATGTTAAGTGTGAATTTTTATTAAAAAGAAAATAAAAACTAACTTTAGATGCTTAATTTAAATCAAACTATTTTCTTTTTAGCTTTTCATTTTTTATTATGGTATCTTTGTTTAAAACCATATTTACCCAGGAAAAAAAAGTTCTATAGAATTTTGAAACATATGGAAATTATATAGAGTTCTATAGAATGTCTATTAATATCTATAGAACTTTTCTTCTTCTTTTTTTTCTATAGAAAATAAAGTTTTATAGCAATTTCTATAGAAATTAAAAAACATTTATTAGAAATTCTATAGAAATTCAATATAATTTTTATAGGCCATATGTTTCAATAGTTTATAGAAATTCTATAGAACTTTTTTCCTGGGTATAAATTTTTTTTTTGAATTATGGCATCTTTATTTAAAACCATTTAAATCTTTTTTTATTATTATGGTATCTCTATTTAAAACCATAATTATAAACAAGAACCATGCGATAGATCATGTAATGGAAAAATGAAAATATTAAAAGTTAATGATAACAGGGTTCAATTCTAGGGTATTTACTGTTTTTAATATATATTAATAATATTCCTCACTCTATAAATAATTTGATTGTTTATCATTTAGCTGAAGGCACTAACCTTCTATGTATAAATAAATCACTCGCGCAGCTTTGTAAAAAAGTTAATTCAGATCTCCATCATTTGTGTCATTGGTTAAATAGTAACCGTATTTCTCTATAAACCAATAAAACTGAATTTGTTACTTTTGACCCTCCAAAAAAAAAGATTGATAATTATAATGTGATAATTAGAATTAAAGGTAAAAGACTTTTCCCATCAAAATAAAAAAAATATCTCGGGGTATTTCTTGACAAAAACCTATCATGGTGCAATCAACTAAATAAAAAACTCTCACGTGCCGATAGTATATTGTCATTAATACAACAGTATGTTCCCTAACATATATATATATATATATATATACATATATATATATATATATATATATATATATATATATATATATATATATATATATATACATATATATATATATATACATATATATATATATATATATATATATATATATATATATATATATATATATATATATATATATATATATTTATATTTTTTAAGATTGCCCCAAGAAGTCTAAACGGTCTTATCACAGAGCACCACGGATGAGCTTTTAATTGGAAGTTTACGCCTCCTTCATAACCAATGTCGCAAAACTTGCCCAGAGGTGCGATTTGAGCAACGGATCTTTTTTTTTGAGGCAAGTGCGCTACCACTGTTATGATATTCTAATACCAGTTAACTATTTTTTGTTCTCCTCTCATCTAAGTTATTGTTGAACTGTTTGGGGTCAAAAAGGTATTTTTTTTTAATCTTATAGCACACTTCCATAACAACTATGAGATTTTTGCCTTTACGATCTAATATCAAAATAGGTTTTCTGAATTAAAAATTCTAAAATTTTAAGAACTTATAAAACTTTTTTTATAATTGTCTCTTTGTGTTTCATTTTCTTCACAATAAACTCCAAATTTTAATAATTTTTTTATTAAAATAAGTGACACACATAAATATTATACTCGAATTACTGAAAATTTTAAATTGCACACTTCCAGTTTCAACACTATCAGGTATGGCAACCTCTCTATAAAACATCAATGTATTTTTCACTGGAACCAAATAATACCATTTATACAAAAAAAAAAAGATTTTATATAAATACCCTTTTATTACCAACATTCTTCTTCACAATCGAAACCAAATTAGAAAATTTTTATTTGAGTTATATTGTATTTATATGTATTTTACTATGTATCTAATGAATAATAATTTTATCTTTTATTATTATTGCTTTTTTATATTACTGTTTTTATAAAACTGTTATTACTTTTATTTTATACTATATATATTTTTAACTTTATTACTTATAATATTATTATTATTATGATTAATTTATCTTTGTTTTAGAAATCTTATTAATATTATTCATAATGATAGTGATATTGATTCTAATATATTTTTATGATTATTGTCATAACTTTTGCAAATGTTATGTTAATTTTTATAATTTCTTTCATAGTTATAAACTTTACCATAATTGTTTTTACGATAGTTTTTATCATTAGTTATAATTTTTAGTAAAGTTATCATATTATAGTTACTAGTAGAAATGTTTTTTTATTTATATTTTTATTATTATTATTATTATTATAATATTATTGCAATTGTTAACATTATCTTTATTTTTTAGTGCTTTATTTATTTATTTTTTTTAATTTTTTTTTCCTATTATTTTTACGTTAGCTTTCTTTGTTTATTGTTTTCCTTTTTTCCTTTTATTTTAATTTATTTTATTAAATTCTTTCTATGTTTCATTTATAGTTTTTTTTTTTAATGTGTCTCTCCATTGACTAGTTTTTAACTATATGAATGTCACCTAACCTTATTTATGTGAATTTATAATTTAATGGAGTTTATAATATAATGGGCGTAATAACCAAGTTAAATGAAGGTCATTTAATAAACTATATCGATTAAAATAAAACATTGAAAAAAAATATTTTAAAGATATTTGACAATATTTGGTTATTAATTAATAAAAAAACCTTTTATCTATAAAAGGTCGTTTTTTACACGCGTCACCCTCAAAACCATTTAGACAAATTTTGAGTTTTTCTCTAGTTATTATTTATTTGTATTTAAAAAAAAGTCAAGTTTGAAAATTGTATATTTAAAAAAATTAATAATATCGAGCTTTGTTTAGTTATTTATTTAATGGCTTACTAAAAACTTTAATATTATTTTTTTATTTGACATAAGGGAGGGTATTTATAAAAAAATGCAACACATTAATAAGAAGACATATTCATAAATTTTCTTTTATTTCAAGGACAGCTAAATATCATGGATACATACATAAATTGTAGCCAATCGTCGTCAGCGCAGTCGAGTTGTATACAAATACTTGAGCTTCAAGCCTTTAATGCAACTATTATATTAAAAAATGCTAGTCCATAAAAAAGCTCTTTATAAATGCTAGTTTGCCGTCTAATGCTTCTTCTGTGGACAACAGGGTGGTGGGCAAGATGGTACGCACTGCATAACGCAGATAGCTGGGCATGGTGGTGGTGGTGGTGGTGGTGGTGGGGGTGGTGGTGGTGGTGGTGCTGGGGGTCCATTTGGTCCTGGTGGTCCATTTGGTCCTTGTGGTCCTGGCATACCTGGTGGTCCTGGTGGTCCTGGTGGTCCATTGGGTCCTGGTCCTCCTGGTGGTCCGGGTGGTCCAGCTGGAGCTCCTGGTGGTCCTGGTGGTCCTGGAAGTCCTGGTGGTCCTGGAGGTCCTGGTGGTCCAGGTGGTCCATTAGGTCCTGCTGGTCCTGGTGCACCTAATGGTCCTGGGTATCCTGGTGGTCCTGGTGGTGGTGGTGGTTGTGGAATACAACATACTGGCATACAAGCGGGTGCACAGAAAGCTGGGCAGCCAGCATAACAAGCAGTGGGTGAACGTTTATCTAAGAGAAAATAAAGCTGATAATTAATCCATATTGCTTAATCTATGTTAGTTAATGTTAATAATTATGCAACTATTTGTTAATAAATAGACTAATTTTTATTTAAGTTTACTTATTTTGATTTTAAAAAAAGTTTTACAAAACTAATAGTTAACATTTGTTTATAGTTATTTTTAAAAAATTCAAAAAAATATTTTAAACGTTGAAATTACTTACCCACATGTCTTGGCATACCTGCCATGCAGGCTCCAAAGAGAGCGACTAGAACCACAAGTTTTGTATCCATTTTATGATATCTGTAAGATGCTAAATGTAACAACGATCAATTTTATAATTTGTACATTAAAAACAATGAATAATATCTAATGATTAGTTGTTTCAAAAATATATTTTATTTTAAAAAAGTTATATTAAAAAGAAAAGTTAAAAGAATGCTTTTTTTTTTTTTTTTTTGCTTTTGTTCTTACCTCAAGTGAAGACCGACGATGAATGCTAGAATGCTGGGCTTAATCTTTTATTGCTCTCGGCGGACTTAACCAAGCAAAAGCGTACGAAATCATATTTACGCTTCGATGCGTAATGAGTGAATACCAATTCTTGCAGAACGTAAGCCAAAATGGATGCATTACAATAACCCAAACTGTTTGTAATTACTGGTTGTTTTAATTACGATTTTGTTTTAATTACAAGTTTTTCTCATTGCGGGTTGTAACTTTTTTTCAGTGATGTTTACAGTTTTTGTTTATTTTACCGAATCAATATTGTGTTAAGAAATAATTATCAAAAAAAAAAAAAAAAAAAAAAAAGAAGAATTGAAAAAATAGCAAATATTAGATAATTAGAAAACTCAGGAGTTTTTTTGTGGCATGTTCAGTTTCATCTTTCACTCATTTTAATTATAGCGACAGGATTTTTTCGAAACTCAAATTTGATTTTTAAAGTTTGAATTTTAAAAAACTTTGACAAACAATGTAAACAAACTTTTTTTTTTTCCGTAAAAAAAAAAAAAAAAAATTAATAAAAAAATTAAAAATGCTTTTAAAAAAAGGAAACAGCACTGAAAAAAATTTTTAATTTTACTTTAAATTCAATTGTTTATTTATTGTCAAATTTATCGTGAATTAAATCAATAAAATTTGAATTGAATTTTTTTTTGATATATAAATAATAAAGAAAAAAAACTTGAAAAAAAAAAAAAATAATAATAATTTAGTTAAATAGTGAAAACAAAGAAACGGAATGCCTAATTTGCTATTCGTTTGCCAATGCCGAATTGTCAATCTTTGTGAACGGTTGAGATCAAGGAAGCGTTAACTCAGAGAGCCAACTTCGTTAAACAAATTTTAAGCGAAGAAAGTTATGCAAAATATTTTTAGAGGAAACAAGAAAAAAAATAAAATAAACCAATAAAAACAGCAAAAAAACTTAGTACAAAAAAGACTGTTAATGTTGTTTTTAAAGAATCAAAAAAAGGTTTGATTTCAGCGATTTACTATTAAAGTTAAAAAAAAATTGAGTAAATAAGTTTAGCTTCAAAAAAGTAGAATGTTTGACACTGGGCGACAGATTTTTTAAAATATTATATTTTCTAATAATAATTAATTATCGTTGTTTATTATTCTAATTTTTACATATATTATTAATTTTTACTGCTTCTTTTTTTGTTGAGAGGAATTCATTTGAAGAAGGCCGTTTGACAAAAAGTAATTCATCAACAAATTGTTTTTTTTACATGAAAAGATCCATTGGTGAATGAAGCTGAAAAATTCAATTAAAAGAAATATATAAATAATCGATCAGTAAAAGCATACATTCGATCAAGAAAAAGCATGGTTAGTTGTTTATCTTCGAAAAAATACAAATTTTAAGCAGTTTGTCGGCGTCTATCGGTTTACAACTTGTTGTTAATATATATTATAATTAAAAAAAACCAATTATAATCTATATGAATAAATAGTTAATTAATGAATTATTAGAAATGAATTCTAACTTGTTCTAATTGTTTATAAACTATTTATCATTAATTATAGTTTTGAGAATCCTTCAAAAGTGGTATATAACCAAGTATATTTGAAACCAGGTAGTGACAACCCAGATAATTAAAATAAATAAATGCAATTTTAATGAACAATATACTTGTTTGGTATTGATAGAAGAGAAAATTTAAAAGAGAGAAGAAGAGCAAGTTAATCTTTTTTTTTTTTTTTCAACAAAAAAAAAAAAAGTCTAAATATGCAACTGCTAACAGTAATGGAATAACTTTTGAGAGTTTGCAGTATATTTTGTTGATATCTACAAAATCAATGGCTATAAATGACTTTGTTTTCCTTTTTTAGTTCTTGAAAAAAATATAAATTAAAATAAAAAAAAAAAAAACCGAATAAAAATATAACTAAGTTTTGAAAATAATAATAAAAATGTATTAACTGATATTTTACTACGAAATATATATTTTTAGATCAAAAATCTAAAACGCACTATCATTATTGATTTCTTTTTTTTTAGAAAAGGTTTCATATACACGTCTTAATAATATGCGAAATGTGATGAGTTATCCTTTTGAACGGTATAAAATTGAAAGTTTTATATTTATTTTCTTTAGAAAAATAAAAATCGTTTGAGATTAAAATCCATCTGGTTAGAATCTAACCTAAATTTTCAATCTAATCGTTAGATTGAAATCGTAATTTTTTGCTTATCCCAGTTTGGTTTTGCTTATCCCAGTTTGGTTTGAAAACAAAAATTAAAAATATAATTGCTAAATTATAATTATTTATAAATTGTTAAGTTTTAGGATGCCGTGGCGCAGTGTTTAAAGTGTTGACTTATATATATCTGTTTTTATCAAAAGCGTCATCGTGAGGAAAGCAGTTTCTCCAAACTTCCTCATTAAATACCATTCTGCAATGCTCCGTGATAAGATCATTAGGTTTTCTTGGGAGCAAAGAGTATTACGTTATATATACTATTGCTATACGAATGTTTACTTAAAATCTTTTACATAAATAAAAACAGGAGGGGACCAAGAAGTCACCCTTGCCTAACTCCACACATATTTTTCAGTTTTAGGATTCTATATTAGTCTCGGTTAATCAGATTTTTTTTAGGGATAACTTTTTATCCAACCATAAGTTCATTTATCACTCCAAAGCATTTTACTTTTCTAATGCTTGAAGGTGCAAATTGAATGTGGAGCTAATTTATAGTAAAAAATATTTTTTTTTGAATTGTTGCTTTATGAAATAAGCAAAATAATAAACAAAATAAATTTTAAAAATTGTTGTTGTTTTTAACATAAAAAAAAGTTTTTGTGTAAGCATGAAATGAAAGCGCAAAAATTTTAATTAAAAAAAAAATTGTTATTGAATGGCAAAGAATTAGATTTTTGATTTAAATTAGTATTTTGTTCAATTTTTTTCTCGAGTTGATTTACTTTTAAGAAAATGTTATATTAATATAAAGACAAGTTTTATATATATATATATATATATATATATATATATATATATATATATATATATATATATATATATATATATATATATATATATATAAATAAATAAAAGGTTATATGAGAAAAAACAACTTTTTTACGGTTATATATATTGTAATATATATATATATATATATATATATATATATATATATATATATATATATATATATATATATATATATATATATATATATATATATATATATATATATATATATATATATATATATAAGAATAGAGGTTGTAGATGCTTTGAGGATGACTTTGTACTGCGGTTAAAAAGAAGTTGATTAACATTTAATGATCTCAAAAATTTCCTCAATGCGCTATATGAAACAAGCATACGGAGAAGCATGCCGAAGCATTAGAATGGCAAACTTAGTCAAAAGCTTGTGATATGTCAATAATAAAATCAATTGTTTCGCCGCCTAAATCTAAGTTATATATATATATATATATATATATATATATATATATATATATATATATATATATATATATATATATATATATATATATATATATATATATATATATATATATATATATATATATATATATATATATATATATATTATATATATATATATATATATATATATATAATATATATATATATATATATATATAAAAACCTTAAAGTTAAGCAGAATAGTTCTGTTGATCAGCCTTGTTGTTATTACCTTGCACCCTAAACTGCATTCATAAATTCCACGATTAACCTCGTACCCTAAAACAACACCAATTTATTGTCTTATAGAAAACCAATGAGGTTTCCTACATGATATTAGATAGATGCAATTAACATCTTCCCAAAACGAGTTTTTTTTTTATCAAGATACCATCTATGGCGTTAAATAAAATTAAAAAAAATGAAACTAATTAGGAATGAGTTCTGTTTTTTGAGAAACGAGAAGCAAAGTAAACCGAAACGAGATGCTCTCAAAAGTATACAATGAAAGAAAATCACTTCCACATTTTAAGAATTTATCTAATTTTTACAAAAAAAGTATTTTAACATAAGGTTTAAAAAATTTTTACAAGTTACTATAAAAACATAAAAAAGCTAATATATATATATATATTTAATATAATGATATAAAGATGTATAGTGAAAAATAATAAAAACCATGAAAAATTAAACAGCATGTCCAAAAATGTCAAAAAGCTAAACTTCTTGGAATACTAATTGATGAAAATTTTTTGGAAAGATCATATAAACAATCAAAGTATCAAATTATAAAACATTTTCGAATTTCACAAAGCTTAAGGTGGAACACAATTGAAAATAAACAAGTTTTTGAAAAATAATTTTTATATTTTTTGGTATTTTGATTCTATAAACATTCAATAAACATAAAAAAAAAAAATTAGTCTCAAAAATGATTTAAAAGCTGATTTAACATCATTTTAGTACATGACAGTTAAAAACAAATTACCTAACAACGCCTTAGCAACCATCAGTCATGTGAGTTTTTATGAATTCAAAACAGTAAAATACCATCACAAACTTCATTTTAATGTGTTATATGCATACTCTTGTTAGTTTTAAAAGTCATATTTCAACACTTTATTTAAAAACAGGAGTGTTTTGGTCTGTTTAAGTGTTAGTCTTTTATACTGTAACTTTTCTCTCATTTTGTACCAAATAATTTTAAAAGTGATTTCGATTTAGTTGGAATAAAGTTATGATATAAATGAATAAACAAGGAAATAAAAGTAAACGAAATTTACCAAGAAGGATAAAACGAAAATAGAATGGTGTTGTTGGAAATAAAAAATCATCTTTTTCCTCTATCTCATCATCGTCCACAACTCAAGCAGTTAGTAGCTGTTCTAGTGAAAGGAAAATCAAACTCAACTATTCGAATACATTTGATTCTAAAAAAAATAATTATTTTTTTTATCAACTTTTCAATTCTCAAAGAACTGATAACTGAAACTGCATGCAACAACTGCTTTCAGCCATTACTTTGAAGCATCAAATTCAGTTATATATGGTCTCGCGTACCAAAGCACATATTTGTTAGTGAGTCTACAACTGAAATGAGAACCTACTCAGCAGTGCTGCATTATAATAGTGGTGCTAATGGTGTATTAAAAGATTTAAAGTACTTTGGCCTGAATGGAATTATTATATTAGTTTCGTCAAGAAAAGTTGACAAAACCAGAATTTGGCATATGAAAAATATGCCGAATTCTGAGTCAATGTCAAATGATAAAAGTAAAATACAAAGAAAAAACTAAAAGAAGTTATAAAAGGTTTCATAGACAATCAGCAAGTAAAAAAAAATAACTGTTAGTTACATCCCTGGTGGATTTTGATAATTTTATGTTCTTTTTATATATTTATTTTCTTATTTTTGCTTTTTTCTTTATATGTATTGTTTTAAACTTTGAAACACATTTTCTCCTTAACAAAACAGAATTACATTACTTCGTTTAACTCTCAGAATTTGTAAGAAAACCTATACAAAGTAAAATAATGATATTTAAAGTACTGGATTTATTGATAGTTCATATATATATATTAGGTGATTTTGTTAAAAATGCTATATTTCATGAAATAATCAAGCAGAGTGAAATATTAAAAGAAATCTATGTTCAAAATTGTAGTTTCAGTTGTTGAGGCAAAATCAAGTTATTAGGTTTTGAAGATTTACTAAAAGCATGTGTTTTACAACACATTTTTGGCCATTACGGATAATAAAATTAAAAAAAAAAACTTAGCTGTTTTTTTTTTTTATTTCAATATAAATTTATTCTTATAAAAAAAAAAATTACGCATTTCATGCAACTACTGACCTTATTAAATATAATTTGTTTATAGAAACTTATAAGGTGAATACCCTGACTCAGTTAGTATTAAACAGTACCCAAATAAACAATATTAACTACAATTCCTTTTACCAGCGCTTGTGACCATTGTAATACTATTTTTAATAGCAATTTGGAAACTTTAATTAGACATAAAAATCCATCATTTCTAATTTCATTTAATTTTTAAAAGGCCAACTATAATTCTATCAAGAAAAAGTTAATAAGTGTGAACTGGTATAAATTGCCCAAGGAACATCATGATGTTAAATAATTCTGGCACGCTGTATATGTCGTTTAGAACTTTTAGAAATTTCATTACTCGCTTCATTAAAAAAAAAAGATACAATACTCACCTTTGCGAAATTTGTAATAAGACATCCACAGAATGTAACCTATACCAAAAATACAAAGATAATTCTATACACTTTTACCTTATACAAGAAATAATAAAATGCATTATTAATAAGAAGAAATATATTGTAAACAAATAAAATTTTACTCTTTTTTAAAGTAAAAACCCAAGTATCATTACCCGGTTGCACCACTTGAAAGAATCAAGTATTTTGAATAGATTTCTTTTTGCTTTTGTATTTGTAACATATAACGATAATAGTCCTCTCTAAAATATTCCATTCCATCAAAACTCCATAAATAAATTTTCCTGTTATTTTTCTGTAATTTTGTTGTATCATTAATACAAAAACTGCTTCCAATGTTTTCAAGATATCATGATATCCACTCATTCATATTTTCAAAATCAATTAAAGCTACAATTTCCGTTTCTCTTACAATTTTACTAAAAATGTCAATAACCACAAATACTATACCAGAAATTTAGTAATCAGTCACAACTGATTTTGTTTCAAAGAACATTTTTTTTCTCTACCATCCTACTACAGACCTACTTCCGTAAACTGTATCGTTTGCAATTTTACAGAATCAATTAAAGATCAAAAACTATCCATTGTAATACATAGTTTTTAAATTAAAATTAGAATTAAAATTATTTACGCTAGTAAATATTTTTATTTCATATAATCAACTTGGCTTTTAAAAATCACAGATTAACATGCACTAAAATGCTGACAACTTAAAATAAACGGACCTCTGCCACAAATATCAATAAGATAGTTGACGTTATCTGCATTATTTTGACGTCATTTACAT